GGGGGGGGGGGGGGGGGGGGGGGGGGGGGGGGGGGGGGGGGGGGGGGGGGGGGGGGGGGGGGGGGGGGGGGGGGGGGGGGGGGGGGGGGGGATGCGGCGCGTGTTTCCCTGTTCCTCGCTTCCTTTGATATTCAAGTGGGCGGCCGTGTTGTTGGGGCAAATGATGTAATTTTTAGCAGTATCGGTTGGACTACGCCATGAGCTGCTGCAGATTATGCATATTTTCGAGGGGGGGGGCGTGAAACGCGCACCGGCTCGATGGTCTTTTGCATTGATGGACGACCACGAAGCTGAGAGTCTCTGCTCCTCTTGCGGCATCGCCTAGAACAACGTACGTTGTGATTTAAACAAGAAAAATAGGTATGCATTTGGATTACTTTCATCAGGTGTGGATCTTAGCAGCACAGTGGTGTCTCGTTCGCCACCACTTGCTAGGACCCGTGGAAACGACCGTATTACAACCGACGTCGACCACGCACGTTCGCTAAAATCCACCAACGACTTTGCTGCTATTGCTTCCCTAGAACCATCAGTGATGCCCCTGCAATGTATACATCACCTTCGCGGCTTGCGAGAACCCCAACCAACTTGAAACTGCACACAGAACACAATTTTGATCAGATGGAAGAGTCAGTCGCACCGACATGTGAGAGTGAGATTCGAGGTTCCGACACTTATCGCAGCCCAAACAACCTCTTGAAAGAACGAACCGTGGCATCAAAGCTGCTCACAAATCTTCGCCACGTCCACCACAGTGTTCAAAATTACTATTATACTGTGGGATGATGGCGGCACTGAATCAGATTTTACCTCCACTCATTCCCCATTGAATCATTGAAGGAATTACCACCACGGGCCACATGTATACTGACTGAAAGGAAGAAACTTTGGCAGCTTTGGTGATGGTACCATGAACGGTTCGTGATCCCTTTTTCGAAGCCCGCCTGGCCTGCGCAGCATACACCAGGGTCCGAACCAAGTGTCAAAGGGAAAGTGCAGTAGTAGAACCACGTGTGGGTTAGACCGTAGATTTGCACGCCGAAAAAGGTTGAGAACCCTCCACGGAGTAAACGGCCCATGTGAGTTTTGGCAAGAAAAGACAGGAAGGCAGGAACCTGTGTTGCTGAGTTTCACAGGGATGATGTCGCGTTGTGGGTGGGTGATCATTTCACGCGACGGACTCATTCATTTGTTTCAGAAGAAAGAGTCGAGGCTTCGACAACACCGTTGCGCCTGGTTTTGTTTTCCTTCATCCTCCTCGTGGTTTTCGTCGAGAATGTGTTGACAACAAGAGCACGGCAAAAGCACAAGATCGCCAGCGACGAAATGACGAACGGGTCAAATCATTATCAACAGAGCAAACGTATTTGTTGGGTTGACGAGCGAACGAACAAGGAAGGGCAGATAGATGTTAACGCGTGTCTGCGGTTGGTTCTCATGCTCCGTGCATTGTAGCCTTGGGCAGCAGTGCGAGCGTTCATCTGCTCGTGACAAAACTTTGGAGCAACACGAAGCATTATTGTCGTGCTCGTCGTATTCACCCTCGACATGGTCATGTGTCCTGAAAGAGGATCGAAAACCAATCGTTCCTGACGGCCTTCTTGCGCAGCCGAAACGTTCTTCGGCACTTCCGCTACAGGATGGGCCTTCACCGTGTCCTTCTTCGGGCGAAAGCTGGCCTTTCGATTGGAATCCGCAGCAACCTTGCTCTATTCACCCCTTGCCCCTGCACGCTGCGCCCCATGACACCAGTTCTTTGAAGGTGCCCGAACTTGGTGGTTGGGTTACTCTTCCATTTCTTTGGCGTGTTCCGGCATGCATCGGCTTGTAAGATAGGTTACTTGGCTACACAAGGTCCCTTGGCATCCCGGGGCGCAATCCAATTACTACCGGCGCGAGCTATATCCACCGCCAATCGCTCCCATGACCCACCAGGTAGGAGATTCGATTGCCGGCCTCGTTCTCCGATTATCGCATTTCGAACATGGGCGGCAAGTCTTCAAGAGCTGACGATAACCGGGTGTATACACGATGGCATGTTGCGAAAGACAACCCGGAGGTTGGTGCAACGAACAAGAATATACCATATATGACTCGAGATAACACACCCCCTGGACCGATTCTCAAAGCTCGATTACTCCACGACGAAGAGGATGCATAAACGAAACGATACATTTTCGAAAAGCTCTCGACGAGACGGTTTCAACGCCGCCTTTATCGGCGCTGTGACTGTTCCTGCAGTTGAGAAATCGAGCTTCGAAAATTGGTCAAGGGGATGTGTTATCTTGTGTCATACACGGTAGGCATGTTTTTTTGTGGTTGCTTGCACCACCAAAAGAGTAACTCCAAGGACTACTGTACGACATTGACTAGAGAAGACGTACATCTAGTTACGTGTACCACGTTTAGACTACAGACTAGGGATGTGATGCCAGAGAGGCGCTGATCTCCGCTACAGAGTACACGGACGAACAGGCAGCTCCTATTGTGGCGTGTGCAACAAGTGTCAACCCGCCGTGGATTCCCCTTATGGTTTGTCGGGAGGATGAAACTATGAAAGTCCTATCGCTTTCGTTTCGCTACACGGAGACGGAGACCTTCCAACGGGGTTGAGGGTAACATGCGTGTCCTGGGAAGTCTGATTGCATGTATGTACTCCACAAGTATCTCGACGTCTCAAGTGGTGGTTTCTCAACTTCGAAAATTCGAAAAACGAGCCTGTTACCCACAGGGGAGTTATCGTTGTATGCTGTCTGGGAACCCGTAGACATACAGGTAGCCTTTCGCTCACGCTATGGATTCATTGCTAATCTACCTTAGACGTATTTCTATAGATAGAGATGGATGTTGTGTGATATGAAGAAATAAAAAAATCGAAAAGTCTCTTGTCAAGGAAAAGAGTGGACGTTATCCGCTCCACAGGCGATTCTTCAAGAGGATGCGTTGACGTCTCGTATCTAGGACTAGGTAACACCTGTTAGATGCTGGATAGACCCGGGTCTGTCGTAGAGTAGTCGTTATGACGACGCACTGAAGATCCAGCGATGCCAGCCGGAAACAGTCCGCACCCAGACGCCAACCGTGAATCTTTGACGAATGATACCCTTTTCGTCTGCGCCTTGCGAAGTCTGACTGACTAAGAATGGCCAAAGCCTCCGCTGGTTATGATGAAAGCAGGAGAAGAGAAGGACAGGTCGAGGGAGACAGCAATAGACAGCAGATGTGCGAAGCAGGAAATGGACGCGAGACGTGATACGTCTGAGACCTTTGGATGCGGCCCCGCACATGGAAGGATTTGGGGATGGATAGGCACCACGTGCCCTTGCGAAAATGGCTCTCTGCAGACCCCCCTAGGCCGTGTCTCAGGCACAAAGCAGCCACAGCAAGTGCCACAGATTGCAGAGGGACTCTTCTCATGTAATGAGGAATGACCGTGGAAAACGTGGGGGCAAAGGGGCAGGCAAAGGTGGGAAAGGGGACAGCCGAGGTGGGTCCAACATAGGGATTGTGTTTGAACGCTTTCAAACCATACCAGCCGCGTTTTTGAACACAAGCCGACCAGCTAGAAACAAGTGCGGTGGGTAGCCTCTTTTGGTGCGCGGTGCAATGCTGTTTGCACCAGGTGCCAAGGCGCACCAGACAGAGGAGTGGAAGAAAATTAGCCTGCAAACGGACCTTATACAGTAGTAATTTGATGAAGACTGCCGATATTTGCTGTAGATAACCTCCGTTCATCAATGTGGCTGTGTGTTCTGCTTCATACTGTCTACCAGATACGACGTATGTAGCGCGACGTCCGACACGGTAACAGCGCAGTCTTTGCATACATACGCATCTCGCTCTACTCGTAGGTTGAGGTGACAATGCAAATAGTGTAGGCGGTGGGCTGGGGGCTTGGAGTGCGAGTGGTGGGCGAGGTGTGCACACAAGAGCACACAGAGTGCAGCGGCCGGCAGCCGGAAAACACGAAAAGACAAGAACCGCGCACAGCTGCAGCGCCTACCGTTCAGCACTTCGCACGAGACACATCACGCCCCGTGAGCCGATTATCGAAGCTCGACTATTCTCCAGCAGAACGAGTGGCGGTGCCGCAAAAAGGCGGCGTTAGGACCGTCTGGTGAAGACCTACCTTCCCGAGAACGAATCGTTTGATGTGTGCATCCTCTTCTTCGCGGGGCAATACCGGTAGTCGAGATCTTTGAACATCGCACAGGGTGGTATTCTACATCTCCTGTTGTAGTATCGAATGTTGGAAAAACGTGTAGGGACAAGTGAATGCGATGAAGCGCTCACGTGTTGTTCATCGATATATTAATATCGGCGGCGTTAACCGCTTGACGGCTGGCCACCGAAAATACCACATGGCTCATTCTGGTGGGACGAATAATGCGAAAACTTTCAATTTTGTCTCAATAAGGGGGGTGGCGGTGTAGGCTACGAAGGTACGAAAGAACAGGTGACACGGAAGGTGGAGGTGATATGCATACTAGTTTTGTTATGTTGGTGCATCGGCTGCTGGCTCCCGACGTCCACACGCGCCCCTCGCATTCCTGTAACTGGCCCACTCCTCTCGATACCGACCCCTCCCAGGAGGCCAGCCACGACGGGGCGGTCGCGGCGGAGGCGGTGGCGGCAGCGGCAAGCGCGCAGCAGGATCGGCGGACGCGGCAGCAGGAGTAGGAAATGGCAATGCCCCCTCCGCCGTTTCTAAGGCTCAAAGGAGGGCGAGTTCTCGCGCGAACAAGAAGGCCAAGACGGGAGAGCCCGGCGTGCTGTGGAGCCCGGGGAAGGGCAAGGGTCCAGAAGACCGCGCTTCGCTTGACACTGGCGGTGGGCGCAACGGCGACGTGCAGAATCTCTCGGTTCTTGCGAAGAATTTCAAGGAGCGGTACGGCGAAGAAGTGGATGCTCCGGACGATGACGATGATGGAATGACGACCGGCAGTAGCGTTTTCGAGACCCCCAAGCGCAAGGGCAGATTGAGCGGCGGCGCCAAGCCTAGAACGCCCGTGGAGGAGGCGGCGAGGTCCATGTCTCCGGCCCGGCTCGCGGCGGAAGCCCAGAAGGCGAGAGCACGCGCGAGGGAAGAACGCTTCGGCGGCGGCGGCGGCGGTGGTGGTGGCTCATTTTCCAAGCCGCCGTCCTCCCCAGCGCCATCGGCTAGACCGTTCCCCGTTGGCGAGCCACCGGACGCGCCGCTAGGAGCACCGCCGCCAGCGGCGATGTCGAAGGTGCCTATGAATCGCGCGGCAGGCGGCCATGGCGACAAGAACCGAAAGGGAACAAACGCTGCTGTGACAACCACATCGTCTCAAGCTCAGCAGCCTCAGGGCGGGAAAGGCATTGCTAGCACAGCGGCGCCTAAGGATTCGACGCCTGCAAACGGGCCCGGTGGGTCTTCTAACGGTTCGGCGCCGACGGCAGTGTCGCCTATGGCGGCACCAAAAGGAGCAACGTCGCCTATTTCGGCGACCAATGCGGCCGCAGCCGTGCCTGCCCTTGTCACGCCGGACGCTGAGAAGGTGGATGCAAGCGCAGCTAGCAAAACGGGCAGCAGGGCCGCTGCCATAACAATACAGGCAGAGGCGATCCCCATGGACGAGACGCCGGCGGCAGCGGCAACAAGCGCCGCCGCACCGAAGAGACCCGCTGCGGAGGGTGGAAACGTCGCCGCGGCGGAACCGCCCGTGAAGAAGGTATTGACACTGCCCTCGTCACAGTCGCCGCCCTCGACCGGGGGCAAAATCCACACCCTACGGTTGCGTCTGCGGACAGATTTAGTAGCCGACTCGAAACAGCCGGCGCCGGCCGCGCCTTCTCCAGCTACAGCTGCAGGTGGTGGTGCGGAGGAACGCAAGAGCTTCGAGCCACCAACCCCTCCTGCCGATGGCGGCGTGGAAGAATGCAAGGGCTTCGACCCCCCGAATCTTCCTAAAAAAGCGGCTACCGTTTCTTCGGTCGGTTCGAAGCCATCGCCCGTGGCGGCCCCGTCAACGGGGATCAAGAAACCCTCTGTCGCTTCGATTAGCACCGTGGCATCAGCAGCACCAGCAACCACTCCGGCCGCAGCACCAGCACTGTCACCGTCAGCACCAGCACCATTAGCAACAGCAACCACCCCGACAGCTGTGGCCTCGCGTTTGAGCATACCGCCCGAAGGCAGCTCGCCAAGAAACCTCGCTTTGACCCTTCAAGGATCCTGGGGGCCATCGTTCGGCATCCCTGGCGCACCAGCAGGAGCGCCTCCCCCTACTCCGGCGTCGTCCCCCGACGTCGCCGCTGCAAACAAGACCAACCCGTGGATCCTGTCCCCCGAATCTCCGACGTTCGGAAGAAACCGGGGGCGACCGCTGGCCCAGGCGTTCCCGAAGCCATCGCAACCAACTAGAGGCAGCAGCAGCAGCAGCAGCAGCAGCAGCAGCAGCAGAAGTGCCACTGGTGCTACCCGTGCGGCAGGTTTGGCATCGGCAACGCGCTCGGCAGGTGAAGCCGCATCTGTGCAGCCGGATTCCCGCAGCAGCAGCGGTGGTTGTGGTGATGGCGGCATCCGCGAAGGGCGAGCCCTGCGCGGCAACGGGACTCCGGCGACGCCGCGGCCGGCGGGCACCACTCCATGCCGTGCGTCACCGCAGGGTGGGACAAGAGGGGCGGACGTGGCGAATTCTTCTTCTCCTCTGACCCACCCTCTCCCTCGCGCCGGCGCCAGCGCTGGTATGAACGCCCAACCACCGCTGTCTTATGGACAGTCGGGTGGATTATTGCCGCCAGAGAGAGCAGCCGAGAGCCCGGCGGCGGCGGCAGCTGGTGGAGGATCGTTAGCGTGTTGGCCAGTAGGTTCTGCGCTGGATGCAGCAGCGGAAACGGCGACAGGAACGGATGCAGGGGCGGCGGCGGCCTCGGGGGGATTCGTTGTCCTCGGGGTTCGAATGGGAGGAAAGGCCGCGGAGTTGCTGGAGAGGCTGAAGCGAGAACGGGAGGAGTCGTTGGACTTCGAGAGGAAGCTCACGCAAGCATTGATGGATCTTTGAGTGGGGATGGTTTTGCGCGCGGGGGAGGAGTGCTGAGACTACGAGCTTGATGGCAAGCATGCTCCGGGGTATTTATCGCAGACGCTGGAGTTCCATGGTCTCCATTGAACACCAAGCTGCAAAGATCGAAAACGAGATCCAGGGGTTTCGTGGATTGGTTGTGGGGGGGGCATAGTCAAGTCATTGCTTGGCGTGTGGCCACAGTAGTGCATGAGTGTTTTTTTCTTGTTGTCGGGGGCTGCACAGGCGCTCCACCGGGTGTCTTGCCGCGTTTCTGCTGACCCCGTCAGTCGCTCTGCTTAGCGCACAAGCGCCGAGAACAAACAAGGTTTGAGATTCCATGCGTACCGTATACGGCACAAGATGACACATCCCCCGGACCCATTTTCAAAGCTCGATTGCTCAACGACCAAGAGGATACATGAAAGGAACGATATGTTTTCGGAGAGCCCTCGACCAGAAGGCTTCAACGCCGCCGTTTTCGGCACCCCAACTCTTCTTGCTGGTGATGAATCAAGCTTTGGAAATCGATCCAGGGTGTGTGCATCTTGTGTCGTATACGGTACATGGAATGTGCGCTTCACGTTTGTCTTTGCGTAGCCTTGCTTTAGGTACATGGTACTCTTCGCGTGTTGCATTAGCTTTTTCATGACGGGATCCGCGATAGCGAACAAAGAACAACTAGGTGTTGTGCTTTCAGACTCTTTCCACAGCTTACTGACACATCGGCTACTCCATGTACAAGTCTTTCTTGGGCATTCTCTTGCGCTGAACGAATCCGAGTTGAACTTCTTTACATGTTTTTACGACTTCCGAATCGGGGGCTGCAGTGGTTCGGAACGAATCCGACGACAGCCCTTGTGCTTCCAAAGACACCCTCCGTTCGAGCTTACGAAAAGTGTGCGGTGGCAGATTTTTCTTTGTTAAAGAAAGACGAGCACGGCCCGTGTTGCTGTCAGGTGCACGTAAGCCAAGCAACGAACAAGCGAACGTGAACCACTGAAAAATGCCAGCATCTCCGGACTTTCAACGAATCAGATTAGCTAGGGCACACGTGACACGATAGTTATTGCTTCTCGCTGCAGCACTCTGATGTGCTCCCACCGCTCTTGGAGACCTTGTTCAACGTACGACACATGCATCTGATTACAATCCAAACGCCACATATTCATCCAAGAATAACAAGGACACACGCTTAGTCCAAACGCCAAGAATCGACGGGTTTTGACCGGGTCACACCTCCATAAAATGCTACCTGATGTAGCTCTCTACCTCGACAAAGACAAAAATCGCCAAATGCACGGCGACACATACCAGAGGTCCCTTGCAAGAAACTGCTCCCGCGATAGGTGGAGGATATCTACCATGTATTATCATCACTCAAAGCACCGCGCCGGTTGGTGAGTCAACTGCCACCATCTCCTCCGCGGAAAAGCACGTCTCTACGTTAACGTGCCGAGAAACACAACGAACCTACAACATTTTGCTGGTTTTCTAGCTCAACATCTGTACTTGGAGGGGGAGTTCTATTTTTCATCACAGCTGGAGGAATCACCCCAACCACGACATAAGAGGAAAAAACACCACACGCACCCACGATTGTAGGTGTGCGTACCACATTTTTCGCACCCGCATGTGCAACTATACAGTTTCAAACAAGCACCTCACGCCTACACTCCTCTCCCTACCCTGCGTCTCCCCCCGCCCCCGCCCCCCGCGTTGTAATGAGTGGTTTTCAACCATGCCGCACACAATCCGTTAATCAAGAGAGTGAGGGGTTCACCGACCGAATCAATCAAGAGAGCGCCGCGTCCCGAATCCAACCCCGCCTAAAATAACCGAAATACCGCACCCCAATGTCACGCGCCGCAATATGCTTTATGTACATGGCGAAAGACAACATCCGCGGACATAATCGATTCCGCCGCAACCGGTCCCATCACAAGAAACCCCGTCCATTCATTCCTGGACATGGCATACGTTCACCTGTCATAAACCACGTCATGGTCGCATCGTTCGGGGTTTCATATAGCGCAGGCGAGGCTTTTCTACCGCCACGCCGCCTTTGCTCATTCGGCCTCTGGTGCACCAGCTACCGCCCGCCGCCGTCTCGCCCTCAGGTCACCGCAGAGCATGACGTCGTTGGGCTTGTCGCTGGTCGTCTCCACCATGAATCCGCTGTTGTTAGAGTACACCACGTAGCCCAGGTTCTTGTAAAGCTTTTCCGCGGCAACGTTCCCTTCTCTAACCTTGAGGTACATGTTGTCGTAGCCCCACTCGATACAGGCATCCTCGCAAGCTTTCACCAGCTCGGTACCGATGCCCATCCGCCTGTACCGGTCCGCTACCGCGAGGTCGGAAAGGTACGGCCGAACACCGGCTGTGTACGCAAACCACAAGGAGTACAGATTGGGGTGGGAGCCGGTTGCTTCCTTTGGCAACGTGAAGGTGGGTGCAGTATGAGTGGGGTCGCCAAAGAGTACAGAAGACGCATGCGCGAGGTTTGGCAGTTGGCAGGCGGGGCACTTCCATTTTCATGAATGCTATAAAAATGTGCTTGCCGTGGAGTTTTTCTCGCGTCTTGAATGCTCCCGGTTAGGAAACGTCCCAAACTGAAAAAAAGTTAGGTAGACTGGCCTGGCACCAAAGCTGCGTCAACCGTACCAGGGCCATGAACCTGACTAACACACAAATCGGTCAGGTGTGAGCGACGGCAAGGACCCCCAGCTCAACTCACTGGGATCGCCGGAACGCACGAAAAACAATTGACGTTGTTTGACGTTCACAGCTAGCGTTGGCGGCTGTGCGTGGTAGGCAGTGGACCACTTCTTTTTGGCGGCGCCGTTTGTACCTGGCCGGGGAAAGATCTAAGCTACAGGAAACAGCGATGCAAGGGTAATGTTTCACTGCTCCATTGCGACAGCGCGCTGCACCACTTCTTCACTCTCGAGGCATGTCGATGGGTAGCATTGGAAACAGCAGCTTCGAGACCCACAAGGTCATTGCGACTCAGGAACGAGAGGGAAGCTACCCACCAACCAGATGCACCGATTGATGGCGAAGATGCACGCGATTATGTCCACCTCTTTTGCACGAGAAGGCTGCAAGAAGCTTGTCAGCGTGTGGTCGATGCATGGTACCAGGCCACTACCGTTCAGCACGGGAACAAAACAGTCGTGTTGGGACACACGTAGAGGTGGCGCGGGAAGAAACAAATCGGGTTAAGACGTGCTGGCATACACAGTTGTACAGATGGTATTCGGTATGCACTCACTTTGTCCTGGCCTTTTCTCCCTCCCGTCGATGTCCACAAAGCCCGCCAAACTACCGTCCTCCACCGACGTGGCCAGCAGCATCAGGTGTCGGCTGGCGTCCTCCCCGTACCCGTGGAAGTTGTCCTGCAACCGGTTCAATTCCACCAAGCACTGCGCGGGATACCAAATAGTCGATCCGTAGAACTCTGCCACAAGGAGTCGTGAGACAGCCCTGAGATCGATGGACAGGAGGTACAGGAGGAAAACGACAAAATGGATCGCAGCACTCTTGCTGTCGGAGAAGCCGGGTGCTGGCAGCATCCCTGCTGCTGATGTGGCAGGTCGTCTGGCCGTAGGATTACTTCACTCAAGTAGGGCCCTCCTTCCTGATTTTGTATTTAATGGTACGAGCTGGTCCGGCCAAAAAACAGATTTAGTCAGATGATCACATGTGTTGAACGGCAACGAACGACGGCAAGCTGATCATATCCATCCTACTGATGGCCTCGACATGGCGCTCCCTACATCTCTTCCGCTTGGGAATCCGTCAAAGCAGGTGCTATGAACGCTGCGTCTCACTTGGGAGCAAGTGCTGCAAGTTGGGCTGGTCGTTATTTTCAAGACAAAATCGAAATCTCAGCGACGCCTGCCCTTATCGGCGATTCGCGGCAGCCCTTGGCCTCACCATCTTTGTAGCAGTACCATGTTGCACATGTTTCTCTCGTGAGGTCCACCGTTACTAATCCCCGGGCATGGAAGCCTAACGTTGGCGTAGGTAATCATGTAGATAAAAAAAAGGTCATCCCCTCGCCTAGGCTTCCTCGTTGGAACGAAGCTGTAAGGTGCAACCATCGGGCGCGGAGGAAAAGTGCTTATAGCTACTGCACAGCTACTGCTGTACAGCAGCTCCCATCAGCATCGATTTTTTTTTTTTTCTTAATACGACACAACGAATCCATCTCTATCGAAGGTTGCAACTTGCCTCAAGTTGTGAAACTTGGCTGGCTTTATCTCGACCAGCGGCGCTTTTCCTTTCAGATCTCGTACATCCGTGTCGACCGAGGCTGACTCGCCCGCTCCTTGCGGTGCCGGCCTAGCGCGTTGTTGGCGGCGGTCGTATCCCCACGGTAATCGCAGAGGAGGACGATCATTAGGTTGGCGAGTTGCATATGTAGGTCGGCTGCTGCTATTGCCGATGATCCTGCTCGAAACCTTGATCAAGAATGCTTCATTCCGGACTCTACGTCCAAAGCTGAACGACAGTAGTAGAAGAGCCAGGGGCACGTGGATCCAACATGGCGGCAGCAGCATGGCCGCTGTGTCCCGTAAGGAGAGCGGACTCTTTGCTCTTTGTGCCAGCAGCAGGGACAAGCAAAGCTGGGGGGTCCGGTTTCGACTTGTACATAACCCCCCCAGTGTTCGTTTAAAAATTGTTTGTGAGCCCCGCATCTAGAGCGGATGTGGTTCGACGTGGTGTTGACGTGCATAGACGAGCAACGACACAAACCAGGTTTTTAACACCCGGGCTGCTCACCGCTAGCTGCTGGTTGCTCTACCACAGCAGTAATGCCTCACACAGTAGGACAAGTATTGGCGCGGCATCGCTTGCCAGGGCACACGAGGGGGGGGGAGGAGGAGGAGGAAGCGGGAAGCGACCACGACGCGCGAGAGTCGTCGGAGCGGTACTTCTCCGCGAGGTGGATGCTGGAGAGGGAGAGGGCACGAGAAGAATCGGACGACTGCTCGCAAGCTTTCGCGATCATCCCCGTAGGTAAGTCGCAGGGGCCTCCCGTTCATCTCAGCTCTTTCTCTCTCTCTCGCTCTCTCTCTCTCTCTCTCTCTCTCTCTCTCCGGCAGCAGAAAGCAGTAGATCGTATTTTTTGGTCGCGTGGCTCGTTCGGTCACATTTTTGTGTCGATTGGCGACTTTGCGTCACATGACGCCGCCGCTTGCTTCTACCCTCGCAGCAGGTGAAGAGAGTAGAACAGCAGTACTTCGGAACATCCACCGAGGAGTGAATGAAACGTCGGCAGACAACATAGCAGCAGTGGGCTAAATGTCGATATCGCGTGCGCTTGGGTGATCAAAACTCGGCAATCACGATATCCGATGTTTTGAGTTGTTGAGTTGGTTGTTTGTTTGCCTCCGCCGCGTCGCGCGCGGATACAAAACGTTCGAAGAGCAGCTGCTACCCATGACGGTCGCTGCCTGTGACGAAAAGAGAAAAGAGCGGATGGTCTATCCAAGGCTTGCTACTTCTATAAGTTCTGCTTGATGATCTACGAAACCCTGGCCGCTGTTGACCTATGACAGGGTGTTGTAAGGGAGGCTTGTTCAACCTTCTGCCCGTTGCGAACAGCAGGCAGCAGGCAGACGCTCTTTCGCACTGCCGGGATTCCCCTGCGTCCCTGTGGAGAGCTTCCACACGCCCTGATTATTTGTCGTGTTTTTCCGAGAGAGACTGAAGTAGAGCTTCACAACATCTTTGTTTTTCTTAGTCACGGCAGAGTTGTATCAGGCTCACCTCGCATCGAGTTTTTCATCACGACCCATCATGCATTAACATATGCATATGAGGACCTGGAAAACCCGGAAGTGGTAGTATATGTTTGCCCTGGATCGAGAGTCGGAAATACACTGAGCATTTTTCAGTCTAGTGATAACGTGGTGCTCGAGCCGGTCCCTCTTGGTGTGTGCGTACTGCGGCCGAGCCTCTCTGTCGTTGTCGTGTGTTTACGCCATCTCTCGCGCGATTTGCTACGATCAACACCAACTCCCACGCGCCCCCGTCAGACTATGGGAGAACGATGGTGCACCCCTTCGAGAAGCTCGTTCGCTTCGCCACACTTTCGTATCCCCGACTGCCTTTCCAAGACTGCCTTTGCGAGGATTTTTGAAATTATTTACGAAGTATGCATGTCTACCATGATTGTAGCAAAGAGATGGGGGTTTCGTATCCCAAACCCTAAACCCTATCTAACCCCCACCCCGTACCCCCTACTGAAACCAAGATTAAATATCATCGCGAAGGCTACTGCCGTTGTGCCTGACACAAGTCGCCCAAGCTCGATTGCCCCGTGTACACCTTCGGCATGATACATGAGAAACGGCCCGGCGTAACATGTAGTCCCCTGTGGGTAACCGACTTGGCAGGACCAGCTGGAGGCGATCTCAACGCTGGAATTTGTTTTTACTACACTGGAGTACTCAAGCTGACGATCCCGACAAGCACGACGTGGTGTTGATGTGGCCAGCGTTACCCGATGGCTTGACACGAGAGAGACGTGCTGACCCCCAGCAACCGCTCTTGTGCATGTACCCTCACGGCAAACGGGCAAATTTCTGAAGTCGCGAGGTTTCACCAACATGAACAAACGTACATAGCCCAAGAAAGGCCCAACAAGGGAGCGAGACCCGCCTCTTCAACTCGGAAAGCGAACTAGAGTACAGTGTGCGTTAGCGTTGCAATCAGAAGCAAGACCGAAGAAACTTTGTTCGCTGTTTACAGTATTGTGAGATAGCCATGTGATGGTGCGTTGCCGTGGATATGTGGCGTCATCAGAAGTTATGTTTTACGTCATGGCAAAATTGAGGAATTGTTCCGAGTCATGCACCGTTTCTGACCAGTGTGCGTGTTGCGCTTGGGTGAAGTTTGTGTTGGATTCCGGTTGCATGGTATACGTTCAAGGCGACAAGAGCATAATCAAAGGAAACAAGGAAAGCAGAAACAAGCTGCAGACGTGGTCCGACAAACGTAGTCCGACACAGTGAATACACAGGTGCATATCGCATTAATAGCACTCCTTACGATTGTGTCGTGGTTCATCAGCCGTATTGACGGCCAGTACTTAGCTGTAATATACCCTCTGTGTGGAACCCCGGTCTCCCCCACACACACAAGTAGCTACCTACACGTGCAGGGTAGGCATTTGCCAAGTGTTCATGTTCCTAGAATTGTATGCAGGCCAAGTACATATTGCGTGTTCCGATGCAGTGCGTGTATTGAACGACACTGGGTGTTACGCCACACAGGGGTCAGACACGCAGACAAGTTGTTCATGGGCAGGGAGGCAACGAGATGAAGTTGGTTTTGAATAGACATTCGGGGCTCTTGTTGCGAATTGAGCTACAAGAGTACCCTTCCGTGGCAGCAGTCCAACCCTCCAAACGCATATGCGGCAGCCACCAACCACCCGGCCCCGCTGCTCTCCGACGCCCTCCAACACCCCTTTCTCCCTACGTTTCGCACCCCCTTGTTTCTCTTCCTCGCGGCGGCCGATGCTTCTGGTTGACCCAACAAACCAGTCGGGGTGTGCCTGATGGTCCTGTACGTGGTATGGCTGGACCAGGCATCACAAGGGCTTCTCGTTTGGTTGGCAGGGGGATCGCCGCTGGCGGAGCTCGTTCCTTTTAAGATGCTCGGGGAGATGGTCGGCGGGGGCGATGAAATGGCGATTCCTGGGGCGTACGCATGACGTTACACCGCGCATGGGAGTGTTGTGCGGCGGAGCGGAGGGGGTACAGAATGGAATGGGCGGTCGGAAAAAGCGCCGTGGACGCCGGTGTATGCCCCGACGAGGCCTGAATGCAACAACGCGGATTGTTTGTTCACGACCACGAAGCCGCTCTGAGAAAGGGGGGCGGTTGAGGGTTGATCCTCGGGGGGGGGTTATACCCACCTAACTCGAGAGGGAAGGAGGCGATGTATGTTGCGGGGAGGGGGCATTGTTAATTCGAGGTGGAACCGGCTGTGTACGATTAATTGGGACACAGAGGTGGGCCCTAGCGTGTTATACTCGAAGCCATTTGTCGATATCAGGAGAGCCGAAAGGTAGATTCCGGTCATTGCCTGTTTCTTGCCGCGGGAAAAAGTAGGGGTTTGATTTGTGGCGCATATGGCCCTGGATTTGTGGCGCATATGGCCCTGGATTTTAGAAAAGAAACGAAGGGGTCGGCGCTCTGTTTGTCGTTGTCGTGGTGAAAGCACCTCACGCGTGTTGATTGTTGTTGTGGTCCCCCGTTTGGATGGCGGGGTGCGTTTTTTTTCTGTTTGCTATTGTAGCGGTCTCGCATTAGAACGGCGGCCGCCTCCCCGGTGTCGCAGAAAATAGGCGTGTTGTATCTCGTGTTGTGCTTTGTGCTTGATGTTTCTCGTGGTCGCTTGTTTTCTGCTCTGGGTAATTTTTGGTGAGTTGTGATAAATCGGTTGAGAGAAGCTTTGTGGACGAAAACCGCTCTTTTTCTCGTGCGAGCTTCTTCGTGCGTCTTGTTCATATTTATTGTTGTGTGGTCATCATCAGCGTTAGCCGTAGGGGCGCGACAATGCTGTCTAACGGTTTTGTGCTCGCCCGCGCGGCTGTCAACGAGAACCGGTACTTGTTGTTTACACGGAGTGTTTTGTATAATCCAGCATCTCACCTACGTACAGCAGTAGCACACGCAGCCGGGAATAAACGAGGTTGTTTGAAGCGACACGGGATCCAGAGCGTTCCGTTAGGGGTTCTTGTGCGAGCGAAGCGTTTGCTCGCGTGATTTCTCAAGCGGGCACTGTCGTGGTGCTGTTGGGGGCGTCGGGGGGGTGGGGGTAGTAGTTTGTGTCATGAGAGGACCCCTTGGGAAAGCCAACCCGGTTTCACGTTTTAGGACAAGCGGACTCGGAGACACTTGTAGGGACTTGGAACTACGGGAAGACGAATACATGTAGTGATTCTGTATCACTTAAGAATAGTGTGGACTGGGTGAGTGTCCGTGGAACAATGACGTGGAATGGATGGGTATGTGAGGTTCACCAAAGGTAGTGGAAAAATCTATGAGCAGGACGGACACGTGCGGGGGAGAGGGCAGGTAGTGTTGGGAGCTCTAACAAAAATTTCTTTTTGTATGCATACCACCTACCTGTTGCCTATACTGCGCAATACCAGGGTTGGCAAAGGGCAGATGGCGAGCACATTCAAACTATACGGGGGTACAAAAGCGGCTACATGCACGGATCGAGACGCTGAGCTTGATCGGCGGGAGTCGAAAATCGCCGCACGTTCGCATGCCCGTTGTGGCGTCGCTACTACCGCTGCATCCACGTTTCAAGCAACTCCCATGCAGGGGATGGAGTTTCCTCTGCTCTTTCTGAGCGTGTCAGCTACAACAATCAGCGATCCTTCTGAGCTGGTCGATCACTGATGTGCCAGATTCCCACAGGCCTGTCCTAAGCGAATATTGTCGTTCGCAAGCCCAAACACAACGCGGGCCCACTACACCCCTCGATGAACGGGCACGCAACTACCATGATTTTTTTTGTTGTTCATTCCACTCGCTTATCGGGTGCCTGCTTCAGCAGCGTCGTTGAATAGGCCGAGAGGTTGCCTTGATGAGTGTTCGTGCGGTGCATCCCCTCAATGGTGATGGGGGGAGACGGAAAGCAGCCATATCCTGCTCCCTTCAACACCCCTAAGCAGGATCAGGCCGTCGTGTAAATGCACCGGCGGGGGGTATCTTAGCGCATATCATGTAGTCTATCCTTCTATAGATCGTCTTGAACGCAAGTACGCGTACGGTGTTGAGAGCGTCTACGCCAGCACAAGCAGGACCACCTAAGGAAAATTTTCAATAGTATCGTAGATGCTCACCGTTCAGAACTCTGTCCAGAACTCTGTCCAGAACTCTTTCCAGTACAGCTTCTTCCCTGCTCTTACGCCAGACCAAGAAGACTACGTTCTAGGGTCATGGAGTGCAAGTTCACCCAAAACTTGGCAGAACAAACAGAACAAACCGCCGTAGTATCCATCAACAAGAAGGGAAGGAAGCTACTAGCTGGCACCACCAAGACCAGAGAAACGCAGCCATAATAAGCAACACGGCGGCCGGACTGCATACGCAACAAAAGTTTGGTTATTACGAAAATAGGAGAGGAGTAACCAGAAACGGGTATACCCGGATAGACTATCACCATTTCAGGGTACACTTGGAAATCAAGACCACACCAATCTCCGACAGCATCCGCCGTAGATCGCGGCGAAACCAATAAACCGCTGTCTGTGTCCTGTGTGTCCTGTGCCTCGGAAGCATGATGCACGAGGCAGGTCGTGCCCGTTTTTTTCTCTCTCTGCTCCTCTCTCTCACTCTGTGCTTCTACTGATCAGTACCACACTGAAGTACTCGCGCGTCAAGCGAGTCCGACCCTCTGTTGAGAAGGGCCGGTATCCTATGGAGGCGGTGCCCATGAACGATGAACGAGCGAGCGTTGTTGGTGGTTTGGTTGTGGTTATGTATTTGTGGTACACGGTATGTGCGGCACACGTTTATTTCTGCGGGTTTTATGCTAGAGCGTCGGGCGCCGGGATCATATGACCATTGCTGGGTACAAAATTGACCTCTTGCCGGTACACCAGTAACCAATATCGGTCACACCAGAGGGCCCTAATTCCAGCGGAAGTTAGTTGTACCTGATGGAGGTTTCTTCAGAAATGGGTACAATGGTTCTTCGGTCAATCAGCTGACAGCGTGGGGGTGCAAGCGTGTTGATTTCTAACTGTATACCCTAAAGTGGCGATAAAGTACCCGGGTATACCCGTTTCTGGTTATTGATAAAAAAAGAACAGGCAGGGGGCACGCAGACGCAAGCCCTAACTCTGATTCTATACTAAAACACGCTGTTTCCCCCTCCTGCGAGCACAAGAGCGCAAGAAGGCCGATTCTGCTGTGACCTGTGAAGACATGTACCGACAGCAGTGCCAGTCCCACCAGGAACAGATGAAGGGCCGAAGCATTTCTTCAGCATCATCGGTGAAATGCCTGCTTTGACCGATAGACTTGCGAAGTACACACCGATTGGGTAACCCTAGAGCCAACACTTCACGAGAAGCAGCCAAACCCACCGAACGCATTTCGCTCCCTAATGCTGTGGAGGCACAAAGTTGCATCGCGTCACTACTACTGCTTGCAGCAGGCGAACATGGGGTCGCCTGGACGCAACAAACATCGCCGAGAAAAAGGATGATGCCACGGGGCCCCTATTCATACAACCTCCGACACGGTTACAGGACCTTACTTATCTTTCCCGGTGTCATACTATCGTGCCAGCGCCGTCAACACCAGAAACACCGTACGCCGCCAAGTCAGCATCGCCTACGCCGACGGGCTCTGCCACCGCCCCTCTCCCTCCGTTTCCTTGGCTCTTTGCAAGGAGACTCGGCAAGAGCAGCACGGACACGGTCAGCTCGGACATGAGCCGGAGGAAGCAGGCCATGTAGAAGACGAAGATGGGGTAAATGATGATCGCGACTATGATGGCGAGCGGGTTTCCCTCCCTGAAGACCGTGGAAAGCACAAGCGTCGACCACACCACGTTCCACACCTGAGCGACGTAGTGCAATCTGCGCGCCAGAACAATGCCTTGGAACTGCGAAAAAAGAAGAACAACAATAGCATTAGACGAGTAGCGCGCGCGGGGGGGGGGGGGGGGGGGGGT